CTACTACTACTACTATACCATCACTTCTACTACTACTACTGCTACTGCTGCTACTGCTGCTACTGCATCTGCTTCTGCTACTTCTACTATATAACTACTACTAGTACTACTACTACAACTTCTAAGACTACTAATACCTATTGTACCGTTACTAGTCCTACTATGAATACTTTTACTACTACTGCTGATGTTGCTTCTGCTACGACTGCTATAACTAATATTACTACCACTATAAAATACTACATCTTCTATTAATACTAATATTACTACAACTACTACTGCTAATAGTACTACTACTACTACTATTACTTCTACGACCACTCCTACTAGTAGTATTACTACTATACTACTACTATTATTTCTGCTGCTACTACTAATATTACTAATATTGCTGCTACTGCTGCTAATGTATCTGATTCTGCTAGTACTATAACTACTGATTATATTACAACTTAAACTACTACTACTACCACTACAACTACTTGTAAGACTGTTCATACCAATTTTACCATACTGCTACTCCTATTACTACTACAACTAATTATAGTACTACTACTACTACTACTACTACTACTACTACTACTTCTACTACTACTTCTACCCTTACTGCTATTACTAATACTACTACTTCTACTACTATTACCAATTAAATATAACTACTACTACTGCTGATGCTGCTGATGCTACGACTGATACTGCTTCTACTGCTATTACTACTACTACTGATGCTGCTGCTACTACTACTACTACTACTATTTCTAAGACTACTACTACCAATTTTATCATTACTAGTCTCACTACTACTACTACTACTACTACTACTATTTCTAAGACTACTACTACCAATTTTATCATTACTAGTCTCACTACCACTACTACTACTACCACTACTACTACTATTTCTAAGACTACTACTACCAATTTTATCATTACTAGTCTCACTACTACTACTACTACTACTACTACTATTTCTAAGACTACTACTACCAATTTTATCATTACTAGTCTCACTACTACTACTACTACTACTACTACTATTAATACTACTAATATTACTACTTCTGTTGATGCTGCCTCTGCTACGACTGATGCTAGTAATAGTACTACTACCAACACTACTACTACTGGTACTACAGTTTGTATTACTATACCACTACTGCTGATACTACTTATATTACTACTACTGATGCTACTCCTGATACTGCACCTCCTTCAGCTACTACTAATATACTTCTACTACTCGTAGTACTGCTGGTTGCTGCTGCTAATTTCCCGCTAATAACAAATTCAAACTTCTTCGTTGCTTATAACTTTCGATCAACTTATCAAATTCTGCCCCTGATTCAAGAAGAGTGATTATTCATAATAACTATGAAATTGTAATCATGCACAAGTCTTGAGATACCATACAGATTCATTTGAATTTAGTCTGCTAATTTGTGTACGCATCGGTTTATTGTCAAATGGCAATTAACCTTTGTAACGTGTTCATTTGTATGAAAACAGAAGAATGGGAGAAACAGAATTGCAAAAATTTGAAATAAAACAGACCACTAATAAGCCGCTAATAAGAAAGTGATGAATTGTTGAATTATGAGGTTGCTAAGTCTTTGCGAATCTCAAATTGATAATTTGGTCAGTGGATTGTGACGAGGACACGAACAACTTTCCGTGTATACATTTATATTCTTCTCCCAAGTGCCTTCTCTTTTGGGTTACTACTCAAAATATATTATGGAAAGCATATTGGTATGTCATCTAAATAGAAAAGACCTTTTGAGGTCTTACATTTTGAAAAATTGACATTTGAGTCATTTTGTGTTTTATAACAAATGGGAAAGTTGTGTGGAACTACGTCACATTGACATTACAGATTCAGCCAACTTGAAGTTAACCTTTTTATGTATATTGATTAAAGCGTTTAATCATTAATAACATTATTATTTTTTGTCAGATTTCGTTCGAACTTTCTCCAGTCAGGCTTCTCTGATTATTTTGCTTTCTCTTAGAGTGGTTTGCTACTGAGGTTAGATTTTCCTTTAGTTCCTGCTCACAGTCATGTGTCAGAAGAGACAGGTGTATGAATGTAGGATATAGTTATTTCCACTGAGGCATCACATAAGACGAACCGTGAATTCATGTACAGTTGTTACAAACTTTAATCTACCGTTGGATACTGAAGCAACTCCCCCAGGTAAAACGACTGATCAAATGCGACATCGGCTCCGTATGTAACAAACCAGTTGCTAAAACAAGGCTGCTACCTTTATATTTCTCAAAAGCCAAAGTTTCAAAGGCATGAATTCACGAAAGTGGTTTAAATCTAAAACCTCCATTGCTGTCTCGCCTTCCAAATGAATGGCAATATTATTACTAGTCTGAACTCTTATTTTAGTTTACTGCATCATTCCACCATAGATAGAACCTCCGTGCTACAAGGAACACACATTTTTCCTCTTTTTACAAGAAAATGAATTCTTCCAAGAGTCCCTAAAAAGTATGACACACCTACAGTACTACTCTTAAATTCTTAATCACTTATCGACAAATGTGATGAAATGACATTAGAAAGCAGAGCACACAAGCCCTATATCATTGGGGTTCCAGAAACGAGGTTAGTGTAAAGAAAACAATGCTCCTGTCTGTCTTGTAAGTTTGGCATGTCATGTAGTTAATGAATACAAATGAAAAGTCTAAGTCATTAATTGGTTTGTACCTAACCACAATTCTACAGGCAAGATTTATGTATATTATAAGAAATAATCCTTAGTGCTGTCACTTTTGCATTTGACCCACTATTACTGTTCGCTGGTTCATATTTTGACGAGGTTTGGCTAATAAAGCAGACACAATGAGACAGACCTTCATAAAGGTCAGAGTTACGATGTCCGGACGTGTATTCTACCGTGATCTATCCGTAGGGGTACTCAAATCCTTCTATTATTGACAACGCTAACCATAATCTTTTAAATTGTGATACGCTTAAAGGAAAGATAGGACCATCCATATCCCTTTTATCTATTTTTTTTCCTTCCGAGGACCAACAGTTATATTACACTTCCATGGGGGTTAATACAATTAGGTTGCAGTCCTCAGTCACTCCTGATTTTAATGATTTTGATGATTTAACGATGAATCATCTCATTTTCCCCAGGCAGTTTATAGATGAAAAGTATAATGGGATCTTGCCAGAACCGTGTCTTGATCTTACTAAACATTGTGACACACACATATAATTCATTTCGTGTATTTCGTAAACCCACCCTCACTTAGATGCAAGTTTGGTTAAATGCTTGAAGTAATGTATTCCAAAAATTGTGTAGGTCAATCATGTTAGTCCTAGACTTACTCTGTATACATTTAACATATCTTTTGCGTTACGAATGATTGTAATGGGGTTGACGTTCTTCCAATGTTTTATCAATCGAATTAGGAACAACATGAATTAGGTGACCCTCAGAATCAATCCAGCTAAACCCCTTAACCTTAACGCTACCAGTGTACCTCATACATTGATTCATATTGGTATTCTCCCTCTCGAGTAATAACATCTGTCTTAATTCAATTTGTTGATTAATCAGTTTTCATTCTGCTGAAACAAGGACTACTGTCTGTATGATTATGATCATTCATACCTAATCAAATAATATGTACGTTGAGTCACTGACCCATCTCGTTCGCTATTCTTTGAAACGGGATTACTAATCATCTTCAAGATAGTAGTGGGAAAAACACAGAAGAAACCTTTCCAATGGTACAAGCTGAGTAGGCCTAAATATTAGCAGCACTATAGAATCAGCAGCACGATGAACAAACATGAGCAGTATAAATATTAGTGGTAGCAGTGACGTTAGTGATAGCAGTAGTAGAAGTAGAAATGGTAATCTTAGTAGTAAAAGAAGTAATAGTGGTAGTATTTGTAGTAGAAGTAGTGGCAGAAGCAGCAGCAGAAGTAGTAGTACTACCAATAGTAGTAGTAATGTTTATGATGGTGGTAGTAGTATTACCAGTATGGTATTAGTAGTAGTAGTAGTAGTAGTCACGGTAGTCGTAGTAATATAAGTAATAGTAGTAGTAGTAGTAGTAGTAGTAGTAGTAGTAGTAGTAGTAGTCATTATAAAAATGCATTTATATGCGCTTTGCAATTGTGATATTAACGGAAATATCGAGTTTTTAAATACCTGTTAAGGGTATTGAGATAATGCTAGTCATGGAGAAATCTTGGTAGTTTATAACACAGCTTGGGAGCAGCAGGTGAAGTGGTAGTATTTGTAGTAGTAGTAGTAGTAGTAGTAGCAGTGGTGGTAGTGGTGGTAGTGGTGGTGATGGTGATGGAGGAGTAGTAGTAGTAGTAGTAGTAGTAGCAGCAGTAGCAGCAGCACCAGCAGAACAGTAGAAATATTAGTATTATTTAGTAGAAGTAGTAATAGTTGTGGCAGTGGTAGCAGTAAATACTACTCATAAATGTAGTGTCACATTAATTTATATTTTTTTTTACTTTACGAAGCCAACTACGGGAACTGTCCATCAACTAGTTATTTTGCTTTTGCTTTTCCGTTTGCTAAGTTAAATGGGAATGGAAAATGGTCGTTGTGTATTTGCAGTAATTGCCGGAACATAAATGTAGGGAAGCAGTCATCATTACTCGTACGTGTGCAGGATCTGACTTTGTTGTGTCAAGGCTAAGAACACTGGCGTCTAATTACGAGAAAACTCAACGAGAAGAATCAGCTTTGTCATGAATTGAAACAAAAAGCAAAGGTTTAAATATCAGAGCAGACTATCACTCCGTTTCTTACGTCATTGAAGGAAAGGCGCTCACAAATGATGATCATGCACCGCTCGACATGTATCGCTTAAAATAGTAAGATATTCCCTTTTTCTTTGCGCACGGCACTTTTCTATCAATGAATGTAAGGTATCGTTCCGGCCAGGTGCACACGGCACCTTCGGTTCTTTAGCATGCAGAGTTGAAATTTGGAGATATAGGCATCCTTTTTAGGGGAGGCAAAGCATTGAGTACCACGACGACTGCTGACTCGGATGGACATTATTAGTGATCTACTAAGAATATTTCATCTCTAATATTTATTTTGCCCGAACACAAAAGAGGCATGTACCAGGAGAATTCATAACGCAAAACGGTTCGGAGGTTGATTTTTCATGCCCTGGTTTTTGAGGGGAGCCTACGCCTGACCAAGCTTTCTTCCCCCGTCAACAGAATTTTGTATATGTATATAGCGACCACAGGTGAGTGTCAAGTTTATTATCTCTCATTTCCGATCATTTGTATTCCTATGAAAACGTTAAGCAGTTGTAGGAGTAAAGTAATGATCACATGTGAAAAGGAATTCACCGCGTATTTATGGTGGGATTTGTTTTTCAGTTGTAAAAGTTTGTGAGGGTCTCAAAATAGTAGTCAGGGGCTGTGCTAAGTGACGGTGTATAACCAATTTGGTACTTTAAATTAAAGTTCAAATCAAGTGATTGATAATAATTATATGAATACATTTGCACTTTCAATACATTTCTTATCATGTGCCCTAGTAAAAACGACGTCTGTGAGAAGTTGAGTTTGATTATATTTGGTACCTCATTGTACTTTGTCAACATATTTTGTACAATTTTGTACAAAAAATACAAGCGGGCTTAAAGGCACAAACCCTTAAAAAATGTTAATTACAATTGTTCCTCTTTTGTTTCTTGATAATAAGTTTTTAAAAACACCGGGTAAAAGTAACGTTGATCAGAGTCATTTCATTGTTAGGAATGATTTTGAAAGGAATGCATATTTTCTCAATCAAAGTTAGCATTAAAAGACCTAGGACCTTTTAAAACTTCATCGAGATTCTGTTTCTTACAACGTAATTAATATTCAGTTGAGAAACACTGTAATCATTTCAATATTTTTATTTCTTCTCTCTAACGGAAACTATACTATTTGCACGTAAACGTATTTATAATTTTTTTGAGAATTCATTTTTAAATGTGTCTTTACATGTAAAATCATAAAGGAGTCTCACTTGAACACGTTTTAAATGACAATGAATATACACGCACACATAAAAAACAGACGTTCCTTAGATTTATAATAATAATATACCGTACTTATATAGCGCATATCACAATATGTCTCTATGCGCTGTAAGAAAGAGTAAGAAGACAAAGTGGATAGGGTAGCATAAGAAGAGTGAGATATGCTCAACATACTTTCTCTCGTTCACATTGGAAAGTATTTTTGAAAAGAAAAGTTTTAAGATTTTATATTCATATTTATATAATTTAAATGCTAAAAACATATCATACAATTTGGTAAGAAGCAAAAGAATATCGTAAAAATGTCAATTATGAAGTTATGAGAAATCCTGCAATTGCCGATTAGCATTAAGAAGTGGTAAAAAATAGTGAGAGGATTACATAATTTGGTTTTCTCTCTTGCTCTATTTTACTAGGCAAGCAGAGCTGCTTATAACATGAACAATATATATATATTTTTTTAAATGTAATACTTCCTGGGAAAAATTTCAATAGTTTGAACATGGGTGTAAGCCACAAATATGTTCAAACTATTAAGATTTTTGTTGTTTCTTCCAACATTTCACGATATGAGGAATGTTGTTTTCCTCGTTGAGCAGCCCTTTTCTATAACACAAATTTTTGTCTACATGACATCTCAGTGCTATCGGCAACTTCAACCAACGTATATATTTTTTGTTCGTGAAAATAGGTTCCGTTCATTATTCATTTTATTTCATATCATTCATGCTGCCAATGGTTTTGTTCCGTACCCTAAAGCAAAATGAACATCATTTCAATTATTTGTTGTTCTTCTTTTTTTTTTACTATTCCATGGCAATTTCATCAAACAAATAAATCATCTGTGAGGATGATATCTAACTGAAGGATATCCACGGGTCATTCACTTTTATCCCCGATGCTTTATTCAGCATCAAATTTTTCTATGCTTTTTGAGTCAGTCAATTTCCAGAAATTAGGTCTAATGGCATTTTGCCAATCCATATCTAGCAATTGACTCGAAGGGGGATGATGTTAGAATTATTGACAAAAATGGGTTTCGGCTAGACAATGGAATTGAATATGATATCATTGTGCATATTGTGTCTCTTTAGTCCTACGTGGATTGCACCCAGTCGAATTTGATCTTGTTTATTTAAGATAACCTTGGATGAAGATACTATTAAGAAGGAACGCTATACCCTTACGTTTCATTTCGATTTATTTAAAAAAATTCAACATTTTCATTTAAATTAACACCTATCAAAATTGTATAATGTTACGTTTTGTATTATTATTATACTTCTCTTTGTTAAACAAGCGCGATCTTAACATGATAGTGTAATGTAAAGTCGATTACGTCATAATGAGGCGTAAATTAGCAATAATAATCGAAAATAATTTACTTCGTTCATGTACATGACAATTAATTTGCAGCTTTCTATCAAAACGATGGCCTAAGAACCCTTTAATATCCAAGTAACCTTTCTAATTTCCTCGGTCTAAGTGAGAGGTGCATTTTCAATGCTATTCGTTGTCTTCTTTTTCTCACAATGCTCATCTTTTTTTAAGTTTGCAGTGTTGTCTTATTCTGCCAGCTTTTTTTTTTCTCGCCCGAACTGATACCGTTTTCATCTAATCTACCTAATACTTATTTAGAAGAGAAAGCCAACTACGTGTATGAAATCGTTAATAGAAACGTTGTAAACGAATATACTAATAAGATAGAGAATGTGTTAGTCGATTAAATTGAACAGGAGACGTAGTTTTAATTCCACTCCAAACTACAAATGAGCAACTACGTAATCATGTCATTTTCAAAGGTCATTAGACGTTCTCGACGTAGCTTTATCAAATAATCTATTATCCCTATTAGACTGTTAAAACTGGTTGTGACTTAATTTTGCTTTACTCCATTTCAATTGTCTGTATGCAACTGAGCCTAATCCGCGTAAATCTGATAAACTTTCGTTCACGCCTGAGGAAATGACATTTGTATTAAAAATCAAATAGTAGAAAATGAGACTTATATTTAGATTTAGTAAGCAAAAGCCACCAAACATCAAAAGACACAGCTTCAAGATTATTGATAATTTGTCTTGAATCCAAAACCTTTTTAGGGAATCTTCCTTAAAGAACTTCTTAATTCGAATTCTGATTGATAATTCACTTGATGCATGTAAGGAGTTTGTAGGGAGTGTTCCATTTTAAGAAGTTTCGCTTCCGTGCCAGGTAACGACCAGTGAATCAGTTGGTGGTCCAATATTTGCGCTAGCGACAATTGGTCCGGACTTTATTTCATCAAAAGTATATGTAAAGAGTTAATGTTGTAATTGGGTTTAGGATTAGGTTTAGAGTTAGGGTTAGGCTAAGGAATAAGGTATAGTGTTTGGTCCAGGGTTTAAGTTAGGAATTCGGTTAGTGCAGGAGATTAACCGCCGTGTGTCGTATAACGTGGACAAGTTGGAATGGATGGATTGAAAGCTTTTTAAGAACAACATCAAAGAATATTTCCTTCCCAAGCCCTTTAAGAAATGCCACTCACATAAAAACAACATATTGACGTTTTTTTTTTAGAGTTTCTGGTGCATATAGTAACCGCGAAAATTAACTAGATATTGATTTAATTCACGTTCACAATTGATTTCAATTCTTATGGGAAGTCTATACTTTTGAAAGAATTTCTTGGACTTTATTAATCTGGAAATGCGTGGGACCCAAAGGTATACTTCGTCCGGGTCACATATTTTAGGTTTGTCATCAGGCTTGAAATCAATAAAATACGTGATTAAAATGCAACCGAGCCGAAAATTTCTGAGAAAAAAACCCCTCTTTTTAAATTCATTCATACAATGTTATTCATTTATCATTTATTCTTTCTAGCTACAGAACCATTTCAATAAAGGGGCACAATTTATTACACTTGTTTTAAAGAAAGAACTTCTAACACAAAGTGTAAGCTTGCAAGATCTGACTACATGTATTTCTATAAACAAATCTAGGGGCCCATACAAATTCCACAACGGTCATTTAAATGACAGGCATGTTTTTAGAACCTTTTTCAAAAGGAATATGTACAAGTTAAATTGACCTACACGTACCCCTGTCACAATGGAGAAAAAGATATGGAGGGGACAAGATGAGACAAAGGGTAGTAGACCCCCCCCCCCCCCATACTAGATGCAAGTGCCCCTTCAATTACTGGATCAACGATTCATTACTGCTTTAATATACCAATGCGTTCACTTGTACCAAGGCCCACCTGCACGTCTTTCATCATGATATATCACCGACTCTGAAAATCCAAATTCCTTAAAGGTATGTAGGGCTTCACCAGATTTGATTTGATTTGATGCTGTTCTTTTTACCTCAATTTATTTCGGTTTCGAACCCGGGACCTCCTGGTTACTAGATTACTGCTCTAAATGAGCTATCGCGCCTCAGTGATTCCAGGTGAAATTGTTTTTTCTAAATCTGCATTAGTAGATTAGTTCCTTACTAATCTTTCCTTTGCAAGGGTTAGTGTACATCACCTAGACTCATATAGACCCTTAGCACATTTTCAACCGCAAGCAATGGTAACCAAATTCAAAAGGCGAAACATAGTACTTGTGACTGTCATAGTGCGTACGTGACTGGTCATCATACCCGTGATGTAATACTGCGAAGTAGGTGCCTCGCCTTACAATTTCTTTACTTTTAAACGAAGAAAATAACGTTACTGATCATGGTAAAGAAGTTTTGGATTCTCGACTGTCTCAAGAGGCAGGGTCAAATGTTTCATCGGTGGTTCATTACCATAGACATCTTCAGCTAGCGTACTCATGATTTTGAGTGAGAAATAATGATCAAGCGTACCTTTAGAACGTATACCTCGTTCAGGGAGTCGGTTATAAATATTAATCAGTAAACATCTTCTAAACATCTTTAGTCTACTTCATTCTGATTGTTTTTGCAACATTTTGATAAAGAACCTTATTCCACCTCATGAAAGGTAATCATTCTACATCCCCATGACCCTTCAGATGCTGAAGAGGATATTAGACTGCTCTGAGAAGAGACGAAACATCAAACCAAAAGTACTGACATCATTTCCGGTATCATTGTGTTGCTTCTAAAAATGATTGAGAAGTTTGAGTTCTGATCAAGAAGAAAATTGTGAATTGGTGTCATTATTTTTATGACGGTTTGGAAGAATATTAAAATAGAAATATCCCCTGAAATGTAGTGCTCCT